CGTGCTGAAGGGGGGGTTGAGGAGCCTGCCTTTACCCTCGTCTTCTTCCCCCCAGCCGCGGGACTAGTTTGTGTGGGGGGTGGTGTCGCTGCCGCGAGACATCACGGTATTACCCCCACCCCGGGGGAAGGGGGCAAAGGCGAGGGTTATGGAGTTGGAACCGCCTTAAAACTTGACGGTTGTATGGCTGACGTCAAAGGATGCTGGTCTCTCTTCGTCTGGTGTGTTTGCTGGTGCAAAATATGTGTCTCTGGAGGAGACCGTAAAGTAATCGCTGTCTGGTTTTTCTGTGAAGTTCGCTGTCGTGAGATGTGAATAACTAACCCGGTTGAAATCTGCTGTGGCTCTGTAATAAGAAAACAAGAGGGTATTAGAGTATGTTTTTCTCTATGCAGTTAATTATCTCTTTAAATATACTATCTGGAAATAAAAACTAGAAATAAATAATAATGGAAATGTTGTTTTTCTTAGGATTTGAAGATGCCTAAAAAGAAACTGAAGAAATTAACTGGAAAGGAAGACGGTTTGGATGGCCAGGATGACAAAGTAGGAACGGCTCTACTATTACTATCATCTTTATTTAATTCAAACCCCTGTGTTCAAAAGCATGAGTTGTTTAGCAGTCTTGAGATAGAAGGATGAATCAGATGTAAAGATGTGGTCATTAAGCACAGCAAGAGGGTTGAATTGGTCAGATATCTGCAAGTTCTAGATAAGTAGCTTATGTTTTTCTCCAGAGGCTATGAGTAGTGTGGGGGTGGTGGTTTTTTTTTTGGTCTGTCTTCCTGGTTGAGGAAAACTGAGCTTAAAACTATTACAAACCCTGGTACTGTTCTCTTGGGGTATTCGTTATCTGATCAAATATCTTAATTTACTGATTACTCACGAATTGTGCTTGGTACCACTTTAGCAAACAGCTCTAAAGTATTTCCTTTTAGCCGCCGAGACATAAATCATTGACCAAATTTCTTAGTATTCTTTGGTACATATTTGCATCTAGTGAGTAAGTTTTCACTGAATCGCTTGTCAAATGCAGGTGCTACAGAGATAATCTCTTTGCTCAGGCTTGTATGTAGCTTCCCATTCTTTTTTGTTGTTTGAATCCACTTCCAGGAAGTCATTTCCTGCCAGTAATGTAATATCCAATGGATCAGTAGTTTAATAAATCCATACTTAAGTTTGCTAGATTTTTTTCCCCTTGGATTTTGTAAGGTGTATATGAAATAAGAGAGCTTTTAACTGCCTTAACATAATGTCCCCATATGTCTTGAAGTGTTTATAAATGAGGGTGATGATATGGCCTTATCAGCCGTTACACATGTGTTGAGGCTTAGCCCCAGTCAGTAACTAGACCACACAGCTCATCCTTCTCCTACCCCAGCAGGATGGGGAGAAAATTGGAGGAAAAAGATAAGGGAACTTGCGGGTTGAGATAAGAACAGTTTAATAATTGAAAGTAAATGAAATAATATATTTATATTAATGCTACTACTACTAATCATGATGATAAAAAGTAATGAAAATACTGCTACTACTAATGATAATACATAATAAAAAAAAAGGAAGAAAACCAAAATGATGTAAGCACTCACCACCAGCTGACTGATGCTCAGCCTGTCCCCAAGCACTGATTCCCCTCCTGGCTGACTCCCTCAACTTACACCAAGCATGACATTTGGTGGCATGAAATGTCCCTTTGGTCAGTTTGGGTCAGCTGTCCTGGCTGTGTCCCTCCCAGCTTCTTGTGGAGAAGCACCTGGGAACACAGGTCATTACTAGAAACTGAAAAAGTCCTTGACTTGGCATAAACATCCCTTACCAACAACTGAAAACAATAGCATGTTAGCAGTGTTCTTCTCAGCACAAATACAAAACACTGCCTCATACCAGCTACTGTGAGGAAAATTAACTCTGCCCCAACTAAAACCAGCATGTTCTCTGCCCCTTCTGTCATGCCATTTACATTATGCTTAGATCACACACTATTCAACACATTCTCAGTAACCACCTCTCCCCTTCCCATTCCATCCAGTGATGTAATACACACATACTGTTCCTGTAGCCTAAGGGCCACCTGGGCAAAATGTCCATAAACCATCCATTGGGTTCATTTAGTCCATGACTTTGGGTTCCATCCATTGTGGTCATTCAGGTCGGGAGAGCTGAAGTGTAACCTGAGACCATTGGGTGTCAAAGCCAGGTCAGGTCACTGCTACACTTCTGGCAAGGCTTGTCCTCCATTGGCTCAGGTGATTTCTGCTGTAGTAATTCCTTGAATACAAACCTCAAAACAGGGCTTATCTACAGCAGTTGATGTCCATCATGCAATTTAATGCATGATGGGCTGTTTTCCCCCAGAATCGAATCCCTTGAGGTACATATCAGACTTGCCCATCTTCTTTCATCACCCACCAAGTGTGCTCAGGTCCTTGAGTGAAATCAGTCCCACGAATGGGCTTGCATTTGCCCGAGGCAGGAATAACCCAGACTGTCTTTCCCAGCATTTTTTTAACATGCACTATGAGGACTTTATCTCCTTCTACAGTGTGTAGAAGTCTTGACTGCACAGGCCCAGCTGATTGGCAGATGCTCTGGTGTTGACTAACCAGGTGTTTGGCCAGATGTGTATTCCAATGTTTGGGAGTTCCGCCTCCCATTGCTCTCAGGGTGGTCTTCAGCAGTCCATTGCACCGTTCGACCTTCCCAGAGGCTGGTGCATGGTAGGGGATGTGATACACCCACTCAGTGCCATGATCTTTGGCCCAAGTGTCTTATGACGCTGGTTTGGAAATGAGTCTCACTGTCTGATTCAATCCTTTCTGGGGTGCCTCCAATGTTTGGGAGTTCCGCCTCCCATTGCTCTCAGGGTGGTCTTCAGCAGTCCATTGCACCGTTCGACCTTCCCAGAGGCTGGTGCATGGTAGGGGATGTGATACACCCACTCAGTGCCATGATCTTTGGCCCAAGTGTCTTATGACGCTGGTTTGGAAATGAGTCTCACTGTCTGATTCAATCCTTTCTGGGGTGCCGTGTCGCCACAGGACTTGTTTTTTAAGGCCCAGGATAGTATTTGGGGCAGTGGCACAGGATAAGTTTCTAACCACCCCGTGGTTGCCTCCACCATTGTGAGCACATGGCACTTGCCCTGGCAGGTTTTGGGGAGGGTGATGTAGTCAACCTGCCAGGCCTCCCCATATTTATATTTCAGCCATCGCCTTCCATACCTCTTGGCTTGTTTGATGGCAGCACACAACTCGCATTTGTGAATAATCTGAGCAGTGGAGTCCATGGTCAAGTCCACCCCTCAATCACAAGCCTATCTGCATGTGGCAACTCTCCCTTGGTGGCCCGAGGTGTCATGGCCCCACCGAGCCATAAACCGCTCACCTTTATGTTGCTGGTACAGATCTACCTGAGCCACTGCAATCTTAGCTGCCTGCTCCACCTGCTGATTGTATTGATGTTCTTCAGTGGCTCAGCTTTTGGGCACGTGGGCATGTAAGTGATGTACTTTCAGAACCAAATTCTCTAACCATGCAGCAACTAAGTACCATTTAGTCACTCTCTCGCCTCCCCCCTCCTGCAGTGGGATGGGGGGGAGAATCAGAGGAAAAAAAGGTAAGAGAACTCGTGGGTTGAGATAAGAACAAAGTAGTGAATGAAATAAAATAATGATACTACTACTAATAAAATGAAAACAAATAAAATACTACTGATACTAAATTATAATTAAAATACTGTTACTACTACTAATATGTAATAAAAAAAGGAAAAAGGGAAGGAATACCAATATTCTTCTCAGCACAAATCCAAAACATAGCTTCGTACTAGCTACTGACGTGTGGAAACAAACCCTACAACTCTCGGAGAGTTACAAAGCAGGTATGTTTATTACAGCGCCGGGTGCAAGGGGGATAGCTCCACCTAACTTGCACACCTTAATGCTTAAGCAGATTCTTTATATAATCAAAAGTGTTCTGTATACATGACTCTTGGTTACATATTCATTATATTTCCTAGAATAGGGTGGGTTATTATAATTAGTTTAGAGAAGTCGTTAGCATATGTCACGCCCCAGACTCCTCCTCTTTGCACCTGTGTAGTTTACTCTGGTGGTCGCTTTAGGTCGTCGTTGGGATGAAGGCTGCAGGTCTTTGTCACAGTGCACTTTTCACCCCCTGCCGTTCTTGTTGCCAAGTCCTTGTTCCCCACGCATGTGGTCAGACAAAACTGGGTTTTTACTGGATCAGTGGTTCGTACAAGAGGAGTGGTTTGTATAAGATCACGGGGCATGTTACAGGACAGCTAGGACAGAGAGTTATGGCTACAGAACAAAGTAATTAAAGCAATACAAAAGCAGAACCAAACTAACATTGGTGGTTAACCCGTGCCTCGGCGTGGCTTTAAAGCTACGAAGTTAAACTAATGTTATAACAAATTCAAATTAAACCCCAGTTCCTCACATCACTACTGTGAGGAAAATTAACTCTATCCCAACTCAGCACAACATGTTAGAAGCCTTTTGCTCACGTAGAGAACGTTGTTCAAAGCCAAATATTTGTGACTGTTTTATTCTCCTGAATTTCTTATTATTCAATTTCTTTTAACATTAACTTATCCTGAGGTGGTGGGTTTTTTTATTGCCTCTGTAATACAAAGAGTGCGCTTAAAGCCTCGTACTGTAGCTGTATTGCTGTTGGTAATGCCTGTCCCAGTTGGGAGAATGCAGGGTTTTAGCTGTTGCATGACTTCAGCCTGGTTGCGACAGCATTACATATTGCTGTATGCAGATATTGACCAGCCCGAGCAACGGTGAGAACCCAAACTAGTAATAGCAAAACGATAAGGAAACTTGTGAAAGGCAGCAAGTGTTTCTTCAGTGTGATCACAGTACAGATAAGAGGTATCTTCAGCTCTCACGGGTAAGAGTGAGCCATCCAAGTAGAGTCATATTTAGGCATGATTGAGGGGGGGCTTTGGTGGTTTTTTTTTTTGTGTGGTGTAAGCATGACTGCAGATTGCAGAGAACTTAAAGACTGTTGACTTTTAGTGGTTTGGCATGTAATTACGTAAGTATGAATGAAAGGACATTTGTCACTGTATAAATTAGAACAGCTTTACGTGGAGCTGTCTGGAGGAGTGGGCACAGCTGTCTCTTGGTAACACGGCCTGGATAACAAACAGCAGGTGATACAATAGCCATGGGATTGTAAACAGAACACCTAAACCAGCCTGCTGCGAGAGGGCATTTACCCCAAACTGATAATGCTAAAGGGAAAGTAAAAAAGTTTGCTTAAGATGACCCAATTAAGTGAAAATTATCAGGAGACTTGTGAAAAAAGCAGGAGCTAGGTTGAAAAGAAACACTAAAAACCATCATGGAAACTCATGGTTCTTGGGGAACAGACCTTGAAGAGAAAAAGTGATAAGATGGGCAGCAAACTGGGCTTGACATTGCCAGAAATCATCCCACCAGCATCGCGGTCTCCACCTCCCCCCGACCTTCACTGCCAGTCGCAGGCAGTAGCTTGCATTCCAGCTCGTGGAGGGGGAGTACGGGGGGACACCCCGTAGGGTCCCACACTACGGGGGTGTCTACCTGACCTCGCGTGGGGCCTTTCTCAGTAGCCCCTATGTTAGTAGGTTGTAGCAAGTGCTACGGGAGCAGCCATGTCTCCTGCAGCATGAGCGTGTGTGCCAGCGTGTGTCATGTAGCTGTGTTGAGACTAAAACTTGCTGGTACAAAGTCCTCTGATCTGGTATCATTTTGTACCTGTGTACTGCAGTTTTTCTGTTGTATTGCTACTATTGATCCTGAGAGTGTAGTTGGCATGGATTGCCAGGGAATTGAGTGGTTAATAAGCCAATAAAACACTTTGATTCCTGTTTGGTTATGATCATGTGAGCTGAACAGTTCATTCTGCAGCCAGTTGCATTGATGTGATTCTCAGTGGCAGCAGCCTTTAACAGCCCTTAAGTTACGATTTCATTGGATTTGCTGCTGTTAGCAGTCCAGAACCAACCACAGGCAGTTCTCAACATTTCCTCAATTCTTTAGGATTCCGCTGATTTCTGAAACCCTGTGATTTTTTTTTTTAATGAAGTTCTTTCTAATGTGGAAGTAAAACAGTTAGGGCCTCGTAGGCCTTTGCAGGCCTCTTGGGTGTGGGAAATGTCTGGAGCCGTGACCTAAAGGCCTCACTCAGTCAGCATGACCTAGTTATTGAAGGAGTGAATTATTTGTAAAAGGACATATGTCTGGAGCTTCCTTATCTGAAGTAATCCATATGTTATCGTTCCCTGTTGTAATTTCCTACACTCTACTGTAGTTTTGGGAAAACTGAGTCATGTAACCAAAAGATACATAAAAATCAAGTGCCTTGTTGGGCAGAGTTCCAACCAGCAGGTTCTGTCATTTTGCGGCTTGCTGTTCTCTCCCACAGCTGCAGTAATAAACTGCTTTCTGTTCTGCCCCGATCACAGTCGCCTTCCAGTTACTCTGCAACAGGAATGAGATGCAGCTTGCAATGTAGGTATGCCAAGCAACGATGTAGCTGGATTCTAAGCAAGGACTGTTCAAGTTCGTTCTTTGGGGACCATCTTTACTTTTAAACGGGCCTACGTAACGGCAGTTTCCCACCATTACACCTAATTAGTAAATCTGATGAGAATTAATAACACATCTCTCATGGGATGCACAAAAGCCTCCCATAGAAATGCGCTCTCTTCACCCTTACCCCGGGGGTGGCTGGAAACAGTCTTCAGGTAACTTTCTTTTCCCTAAGGATTTTTATAAATACACAAAACTGTATATTTTGCATACTGATACACTTGCAGAGTATATGAAATACACGAATCCTAACTGTGTTTAATTAGTTGAGCTTTCTCTATTTATAACCCAGGACTGTGTGCCACATTCCATTTTTCCCCTTGCGTTGTTGTTAAACACAATAAAACCTAAATACTAAATTAGAGCAAGGTACATGGCTGCCTTTTTCAAGGTTAACTCATTCAAAATCATGAAAAATCTAGTATGAAATACTTGTTCCATTGTATGACCATTTTTTTAAACTGCAGTTTCCTCTCTAAGCCCTTGGATTTTTTCCTTCTTTCAGAACTCTGATGACAGAAGATCTTATAACCGTGCTGTGAAAAGAGAGACAGAATTTCAGAGGTAAATTCTTGCTGTGTCATTAAATAGAACTGTGTAACAACAAAACCATCACAGACAATACTGAATTAAAGGCTTGCCTTCGATTTGTTCACCAAATACAATGTGTTGTTTAACTGATGAAGTCTTGCCATTGCATTAATGAGTGGATTCTGTCAAAGATGGACAGTTTGAGGTAGCTGAGAAGAGAGAGTTCAGAATTTTTTTTTTTCTTCCAACTCTGATGTGTGCTTCTACACTTCATATAAGGTAGGAATGATAAGAATGGTCTCTTTCCAACACTGCTGTCATAAAAAGCTTTTAGTTTTGGGGTTTTTTTTCTTGTCTTGAGCACTACCTTGTTGATCTGTATTGCATATTACACACATCTTGTTAGCAAAAGGAAGGGTCCAGGCTCCAGTGAAGTCCGGAGGATGGTTCTGCAGTGAACTTAGTACTTTTAATAGATTCCTGTAGTCCTGAATTCGTTGACTTCTGATGCTTTAAGTAGTTAATTCCAAGGCAAAGAAAGCAGTCGTTCGCCTTGAGTGTAGCAAATGTAAACAGTGCTTGAAAAACACTTCACATGAAGTGAGAATGTTCTCAGGAATCCTGAGATGGAAAAGCTCTGGATTTTCTTAATCATGGCAAAATCTTGTTGCAGTTTCCCTGTTAGTCTGGAGCTGTAAGTCATGGGAGTTTCAGCTGCCTGTATGTATGCTGTTGCGCACTGTTTGTTGGTGCAGTGTGATACAACCATAAAGCAGTAACTGCCCCAAAGTGCTGTCCAGTCCCATCCCCCATCCCTGACAGTGGCCGGCAGGACTTGCATAGGAAAGAATATGTGAAACAAGATAAGCATAAAAAATTCTTCCTGTTGTACACTGTTCCAGCTTGTAAGAAACAGGTGTCTCCTAAGTCAGAAGGTGGATGACCATCAGTGCATTTTTTACCTGTCCACTTGACAAACACTCGTAGGCCTTTGCCTCCCCAACGTTTTTGACAGCTGTTATGGAGTAGGGTAGAAACTTTCTTTGGATATTTTAAACCTAGTGTATGATAAACTTGCTTATCAGAGCAGAGAAAATACTAAGTTTCCTATTCAGTTTTCATATCACTCATGATTTCTGTGGAAGGTTACTATATTCCCATCAATTGTTCCTTTTCCAAGTTCTCCAGTCTGTTTATCCTGCACTGTTTAAGGCTGTGCAGTGTGCCGCCCAAGTTGAACTGCCGCACACTCGAACATTAGGGTGACACACTTCATATATTATTAAACTACTGTTAAAACTTCTCTGTCTGGTAAGACAAAAGTAGCCTTTTTAGGGCATCTCTCAAACCAATAGGTGGTGAATGGGGAAGAAGCTTTTTCTCAGTTTTGTAAGCTCCTGTTCTTTTACATTACTTTTTTTTTCTGTAATGTTTCTGTAGATTCAAAATAAAAGAAGATGGACAAGAGCAGAAGAAAGACCAAAGCTCTAGTATTTCTCATGGCGCTGATGGAAGATCCCAAGGAAAATCTCCAAACAGAAGCAAAACCACAGATAATTCTTTAATCCAAACTGAAAAGCAAAAGAGAATAGTTATCCAATTTAAACCCAAAGAAGTTAAACATGGAAAAAGTACACGCACTCCTGATGTAGCGACGACTAGCAGGGAAAGTTATAGCAAAAGTCGTTCTGATGGGGCAGAAGGAAAAAGGCTCTGGCACAGCTTTGCAGTTCAGAGAGACAAGGCACTGAAGAAAAAGGCACAGAATGCTGAACTCTGCAAACCTAAGTTAAAAGCGGAACAAACGATGTTGGAAAAATTCAAGTCATCTGTGTACAGTTTACACGTACCACACAAAAAGGCAGAGGGGTCAAAAAAACGGAGCAAAGATGTCGGAATTCCAAAAAAGCCATCTGATACCTCAGCAGGGACTGGTCATGAGGATAGGCCTTTCACTAAGAAGCCAAGCACATTACCTAGGCCTTGGGAAGAAGAATATGAAGAAGAACATAAGGAGTTTTCTACCAAAAAACGGCATGTGAATAAACATACACCATTACACTATTCAACTGAAACCTCACAACGACGGGGCTCTCGTAAACGGAAAAAACAGGATGCAGATTCTGGTAAAGGCCCTGGTAATTCAGGGACTGAAGAAAGGGACTTTGAAGCCACAGCACTGTGTTTTAAGCAGGTAATGAGAACCCAGTACTTCACGTTATGCAGGTAGATGTTTTGGGCTAGTTTCTGAATGGCAGGCAGTTCTTACGTAAGCATCATGTCCTCTTACAGATTTCAAACAGGATTTCATAGCTAACTAGGTGGATTTTTTGGATCCATGTTAAGCATGTAACATGTAAACCATATTAAAATGTTTCTGTGCTCTGCTAAATGGTTGAACTAACGAGAAGAATAAAGGTCTTGCGTATTAGGACTGTGTCTGCACATAGGTTTTCATAGCTTTGCTGCTGCGGGTGAGGGATACTTCAGTTTAGGTATAAGGCAAGAGTATTTTTTTTGAGCTGACAGGGTTGTATCATTTTTTGAATGAATAAACTGAACCAAAGAAAACTTGCCTGCCAAACAGGTGCTCGCAGCTGGCAAAGTAGTGGCAGGAGAACTTGTAGATCTAGGCCTAAATTTGTGCGTTTCCTGCAAAACTTCACGTTTGGCTGTGATCAGTTCATTTCTGAGTTCTCACTCTGCACCTCAACTTCATCTTGAGCGTTAACATGCCTGCCATTTTTTGGAGATTCCAGTTGACGTTGCAGTAGTGCAATGATGCCTGTATGCAAAGATAGTAATTACATACGGAATCATGGAATCGTTGAGGTTGGAAAGTACCTCCGGAGATCATCTAGTCCAGCCCCCCTTGCTCAAGCAGGGTAAGCTAGAGCAGGTTGCCCAGGACTCTGTCTGGTCAGGTTTTAACATCTCTAAGGATGGAGACTCCACAACCTCCTGGGCAGCCTGTTCAAGCACCTTCACTGTGAAAAAGTTGGGGGTTTAATGAAAACTGTGTTTCAGTTTGTGCCCATTGCCTCTTGCCCTGGCAATCTTCAGTCTTCTTTATACCTTCTCATCAGATATTTATAAATATTGTTCAGACTCCCCCTTCTCTTCTGTAGGCCAACCAGTCGCAGCTCTTTCAGCCTCTTGCATGACATGCCCCAGTCCTTAATTATCACAGTGATCCTTTGCTCAATTCACTGTTAAATTCATGTCTGTTTTGTACTGGGAAGCCCAGAGCAAGAAAAACATTCACAAACCCACAAGAGATTGGAAAAATAGGCTTACTGTTGTGTAAGACACTATTTTCAAAGCAATCCATCCTTCTAAGCCCTTTTGAAATGATACTGTAGATGCTTCAGCATGGATATTGAAAATACGGTTTATGTTACCTACTCAGTTCACTTGGGGAATACTCAGTATTCTCTAAAAAGCACATGAAAAGACTGATACGTGTTCTACTTCTGTTCCTACCTGTTTCTAGAATTTTGAGGTCCCGTGCACGTCTGACTCCCATCAGGAAGGTACGAACGTAAAGTCTGTCCAAAAGGTTAGTGATGTACTTGTTTAACTCTAAAGGGCTATACTCAGAAACTCTTGACATGGGGGTCACTTGTTCCTCAGGTGTCCTTGATGTTTTGTGGTATTATGGGTTTTTTTAATTCATCCTACAGAGCTTTGAAGTCTTTCCATCTCTTCAAGATAGTGAGAACCCAGAAACAGACCAAGAGGTTAGTAATGCTTTAATTTAACATTTCTAAGTTGTGTTAAAAACTCATGGTACTGAGGGTGGTGGACAATTCCATAGTATTTTTGCATTGTTGCCTTATGATCTACACCTCAGAAAACTTACACCATTTTCTTCAAATACTGAACAAACTTGCAAAAGTAGTGCTAATCAGGAACTTGGATTAGGAAGGCAGCCCCTCCCCCCCACCCCATAGGGGGCCTTCATAGTTGCTTACATACTTGAGCTACCTCATTTTCCATACTCTAACTTTCAAGTTGGAAAAGAGTCATTTTTTTTTTAAGAAACACCTGTCAGGAAATTTGCAGTCTAAGAAGCAAAAAATGGAACAAAGTTTTTGGGTACCAGGGAGAAAGGTCATAAATAAATCTTCCTTCTAGGCTGTATTTTGGACACCTTTTGTGGACTTTTTATAGTGGATCCTATGCAGAAGGTTCTCATGGCTTTACATTTGCTGTACCAAGTTAACATTTTTCTTTTTTAATCTGTTTAATGCAACAGCATTAATGCAAAACCATCTTTTCTGGCAACAAACGTAAGTTATTACTTACAACTGATTTAATACATACAGATTTTTTTTCATTGTAGATGCAGATAGTTGAAGATTTGCATGTCGCTCGTGTTCAGAAGAGGATGGCACTGTCTGTAATACAGGCTTGTGGAGAACTTACCAGTATGGAAATAGATCTTCCAGAACAGGATTTAAATAATCCTGCTGGTATGTCGTGATTTGATGTTCTTTGGTGTGTTGACACAAAATGGAAGCTATGCTGAGTGGTTTAGGCTGCTTACAAGATCAGTGTCACAAATATTAGGGGAAAAGCTGTTATTTTTAATATGAATTTGTGAGGAGTGTGACTTAACAGAAGTTGATGGCAAGGTCCACTCTACTACTTTTTTGACATGGAAAAGCATACGAAGGCAAAAACCAAATTAGCAACAGATTAAAATAGTTTGTACACAAATTAAAAATTATTTACAGAGTTGGGGAAATCAGGATTGGATTGTTGTGATATGGACTAGGGAAAAGGGACAAGGACATTACTCCCGTTCGGTCACGAGGCTTAGAGTGGACCCCCTTGCTTTCTAACTCCTTCAAAGAGAAGTCTGGGTGCAGCTGAATCCATACCTAGTCCCAGACCTGGTCAATGGTTTATGTCTAAGGAATTAGGGTAAGGGTCACAGTGTGTGCACTTTTTTGTGCTTGGTGTGAAACTTTGGGATAGCAACAGTGTGGGACAGCAACAATTCAAATTTCTTTAACACCATTCAGATATGTCACACAATTAGATCATACAATTCCCCAGCAGGACTTAACTCCCAATAAATCAGTACAGTAACTTAAAGACTTAACAGAGCTATCAACATAAAGTTGCACACATACACTCACACAGACAGATACAGAAATAGATACACATATATTTGTATGAAGGTACCTGTTGAAATTTCCCCTTGAGTTCAGTGAAAATATTCATGTCAGATGTCAGGGCATCTCTCAACAGGCAAAGAGCTGAGTCTCAACGAGCTTCAAAGAGCTCAGCCCAGGTTGTGCCAACTGTTCTCTGATTTCACAAACTTGAGAGTTCATGACCTCTGAGAGGTATCCCAGTCAGAGGGAGATGCTGGGTGCAGCCCACTGCAGTCCAGGAGAGCTCAAAGGGTCATCCTTGGAACTGCTATTTATAGGGTTGTGAGATAATTGACTTCAGGCATAAATAATTTTACATCCTGGTCTTAATTGGGGCAGGTGGTCATTGGAATTCCCAGCTGGTACTGATCTACCCAGACTGGGATAAGGGTGAGGGCTGGCAGGGGATGAGTTACTTCACTCTCACCCCCCACCTTAACCAGGCAACTGCCCCCTAGTATGGCCATTCCCCACCTTGGCAGTGCAAGAGTGTTTGGATATGATAAGGGATGCTTAACTGCCAAACTCCCTGCACAATGGGTGAGGTTTGACGTGAATCTCTAAGGCCATAGAGCTGTCCAGGAGCTAAGAGGGGAAGAAATGCACCACCACATGTATCTACTTGCAGCTAGTTATTACGGTTGGTTAATGATCTGAGTAGAGAGCACCCAACTGAATTTTCACAACTGTGTTGTTTGCTTGTTTCTCTTTTTCCTTCCAGAAGCTTTTACTTCTGGTCTGAACATACTAGTGGTGATCGACACAAATATAATGATTAGTCACCTTGAGTTTGTCAGATCCCTGAAATCTGAGGATATACCAGGTATGTGAACACACGGTGATCAATCAGACCTCCTAAAAAAAAAGCAAATGTTTTAAGGACTTCAGGCTGTGTGAAGAAAAACAAATGTGGGCTCCTTGGAAAGGCAGCATTGAGGCAAGAGGGTCACACTGCAGAGGCTGGTTCTGTGAACCCGAATAGGCTGCATTTTAAGGAAAGCTCAGCTATGAAAGTAGAACCTACTGGGCTTATACCTATGTACCTACAGAGAATCGTGGTCAATGTTCCCAGGAACGTGTATGCGTTCTTAGAGGTAAATAAGTCCTATCTATTGTAAGAAGATACTTTTTAGCACTTAATCCACTACTAGTGGTAATGGTGTTTTCTGTCTTTTTTTTTCCCTAGAAATCTAAAAACATCTTAAATCTGATAAGCAGTCAGCCAGTGCTTTATTTCTGTCTTGGTAAAGGTCACAGAATTCATGAGATGTGTGGGCAATTTCTCAGGAATTCAGATTGCAGATCCTGGCTTTAACATTTGGCTTTAACATGTTGTGAAGCTTTTGGTAATGTAATGTTAGCAGGATTAGGATAGTGCATGTTGGCTGTTGGAGGGCATGTTTGGAATTTTGGTGCTTTCAGCTGAAGAATACACTTACTACAGCTGCCTGGAAAATAACTTTAAGGGCCTGAATAATTTTCAGGAGTGTATCAGACTGTATTTCCCTTTCCCGTGTTAGGAACAGTGTTGCATTGTGTACACTGGGACACCTTTTTTAGAACATTGCAGCTCCCAATTTCTGGTCCTGCACCAGACCCATTATGTTCAGGAGGCTGCTGATTCCTGACCTATTTCCTAAAAAGCAGATGGATATTAATGTATTTTTTTAAAAAAAAGTGTATGCTTATGATGTGAATGAGACAGAAAAATTGAAGTATGTGTGGTTGGTGGACCAACGAAAGAGTCATTAAATTTCTGATTTACCATGTATTTCGTGTAGAACAGCTTTAGTTGTTGCGAAGGAGCGGGATTTAGGCCGCTTAAAAGGTCAGCATCACAGCTACTGGCGGGAAAAGCTGTTTTAATGTGAACACGTGAAAAGGGCGGCTTCACAGAATTCGATGGCAGGGTTCACGCTCTTACTCGTTCAACATGGGAAAGCGTACCAGAGTAAAATTAAACCAGCGTTGGGGTAAACTGGTTTACGCGTGCATCGGGAGAGGTGATTTACGCAGGGTCGGGGAAATCAAGTTAAAATAGGGTTGGTGTGATTTATACAGGGATTAGGGAAAAAGGGTGAGGAAGTTCAGAGTGGGCCCCTTTGTTTTCTAAACTTCTCAGAGAGAAGTGTAGGAGCGGCTGAATCCACCTCTAGTCCCAGACCTGGTCAGCGGTTTATGTCTAAGGGGTTAGGTGTAGTGATCCCTGTGTGGTGCTTTTGTGAGTTCTGTAACTTTGGAATAGCAGCAATTTGAGACAGAATAGTAACAATTTAAGGTTCATTAAAACTGTTAAGATAGATAAATCACAAGAGTAGATTATATAAAATTTCTAGCAAAACTTAATTATCAGTGAATCAATGCAACTTAATCACAGACTTAATAGTTTTGTTAAAGTGTATGCACACGCACAGATGTATAGATACATACCAAGGTACCTGATAAAATTTCCCCTTGAGCTCACTGAAAATAACGCCCTTCAGGCACCTTTGCATCTCTCAGCGGGCAAAGAGTTGACTCCTCGAACTTTAGTGGTGGTGGGCTCTGAGCAGCATCCCACTGAGGGGGCGACACTAAGCACAGCCACTGCGGCCCAGGAGAGCTCAAAAGGTCTCACTTGGAACTGCTGTTTACAGGGTTGCGAGGTGATTGACTTTAGGCATCAGTAAATGTCCACCCTGGCCACACCTTGGGTTGGTAATTACTGGAATGTCAGTATTTGGTGGTACCAACTTGCCCGTTTTGGTGTGTTTCTCGGTTGTCAGGGGATGATGAGCTGTTTCATTCCTATCCCCCGCCGTGGCCAGGCGGTCGAATTCCTGGTATGCACCGTGGCCGGCCAGCCAAGCTCCCAGTATGGTTAGTGCCGTGCCCTGCCTCAGCAGTGTGGGAGTGCTTGGTACGGTCTAGGGACGCTTCACTGCACAACAGCCAAATCTTGGCAGGAGTTTCTTAGGCCACAGTGCAGTCCAGGAGCTGATGGTGAGAAATGCACCACCACAAAAGTTCAGACCATACTTAGATCCAAGTAAAACCATGCTCCAGTATCCATACTTCCTGTTCCTGGTTTAGGAATGCTAGTTAGCAATTAGCACAAACCATTGCTCCTCTTAATTGACGGTTGTTTTGGCACAGTGACTGTTGTGGTCATGCGGGTATTTTCAGCCTGTTATTTCAGGTGCTGTCACCTTGCTTTAACACCTTACAGTGAGTGTGTGACAAGATGATAATTGCTGCAAATATATTATTATAATATTACTGCACAGCATTGTCAAAGTATTCTGCTGATTAATCTGCCTTTTGTTTGCCTAATACTGTCATTTTTACATGTAACCAGTGTAGTGCCATCGTGAGGTTAGGTTAGAAAGAGGGCACTTGGCTTTTTCAGTTGTTCATTTTCTAATACTAGATACTGTTGAGCATGGAGTATGAAAACTACTGGTAAAACCCACAAGTGTTAACTTAATTCAAACACCATATTTATGTTCTCTATAGTAGTGTGCGTAGCTCTTTCAAAATGTCTTTCTTTTTTGGTTGTTCTTTTTCCCTTCCAGGTGTTGGCAGACTTGCATTAGTAATTCCCTGGGTCGTTCTACAAGAGTTGGACAACTTGAAGAAGGGGAAGATGTTGCAGCATGTTCGGGACAAAGCAATCCCTGCAGTCCAGTTCATCTACATGTGTCTCAAAAACCAAGATTCAAAATTGTGGGGGCAGTCCATGCAGCTTGCTTCTCAAAAAATATGTAATATACGTGCAATCAGTTTGTTTTGGGTACTTAATCCTTGCAGTTCATGTAGTGTAAACCTTAGCACTAAATTTTGGATTTAACAGAGTCTTCACTCTGCAGTTTGCTAATTAAAATTAGCCAGTAGCTTACAGCAGCCATCTCAGCTTATCCAAGGCTACAGTATGCAAATACCTTATTCAGACTGGTGCTTAGCTCACTGTTGTTTTATCAACTGTTTCTCACTTTTAGGTACATCTCTTGTTAAGTGGGGGATTACTTAGTGAAAATTCATGCAGTTATTTTACCTATGAGCAAAGGATATGTTGGTTGCTTTTGCTTTTGCCTCAGTCGTCACAAAATCTAACATATTCAAATTTATCTGTGGCTCACCTGAGGTTTTCTGGCAAAACCGTGGTGGTTTTGCGTGGAGTAGTAGCTAAGCATCCTAAACTCCGCTGTGTGTTCTACACTTGTCTGTCCTCCTTTGGGGAGTATGGCATCTAAAACCACGCCCATGACTCCACTGAAGTATTTCTTACAGCGAGGTACTTCTGAAATGTCAGCACTGTCTTACTGAACTTGCAGATGGCCTGAGTGATGAGAACAACGATGATCGCGTCTTACAGTGTTGTCTGCAGTATCAGAACCTCTTCCCTCAAGCTGTTGTCATACTCTGCACGTGAGTTCCTGTGCGGTTTTCGGTCTCTGGAGGCGTAAGTTAGTCTCATGCCAAAGACACTGTTTTCAAATCACATCTTAAAATGAAGAGCTGTTTCTGAAGCGAGCAGTCACCCTCTTCAATCTAGAGTAGAAGGATGTAATAAAGCACAAAGATTGTAGACTTAATCACCTTCACGTGCTTGAGGCCCGAAGTAGAATTGTTTACTCAATATTCAATTTTAAAACTTCGTAAAGGATCATTTTCTCAGATTTTTTTTTTTCCTGATTTACATTAAAAATATTACTGGAGTTACAAAATAGAAAAAACCCCAATTATATTAACAGTGGAGATCCAGTTAGATACTTCATTTCTGCTCACCTGGTTGGGAACAGTGATAAAGATTTTCAGGGGGTAACCTTAGAAGAAGGGAAGGTGGAGATAGGTTTGCCCCTGTTCTTGTTTTGTGAGGATACAGCTGACTTCGGAGTGTTGATTCTCTGTTTCATACCAGTCACATGAAGCTAGTTTTTAAAGGGCAAGCAGTGTACTCCAGGCTTTGCTAGGCCGTTTCCTGCCGCTTCAGTAAGGGGGTTAAGACACTAGGCGTCAGCTGGTTTGAGTTGACGTGTGTGTACTGGGTTGCTGCTGAAAACACTATCTCAGTCAGTGTTGGTAGGGCTGTTGGTAATGATTTTAGGTTTGTCTGAGTAAGGAATAAGAGGTGACTTCAGAAGTGCTTGTCATCTGGAAATCCCTTCCTCCTTGATCGGTATAAGCAAGGAGAATTTCTGAGGAAGTACTAGGATCCAACTTGGTCTTGCATCTTTATAGCAGTTCCACTGGAGCAGTGTATACCTCAGGGTGGCGTCTGGGACAATGATTTGGTCAGTAGAGCAGTAAAAAAGGGTGTAGAAAATGAAGTTTTATTGAAGCAACTGAGTAAGGTACCAGTGCCTTAGAATTACTGCCTTGTTTGCATTCTAAGCTCATAGCAAGTAGACATTGTTGCTGTCGTATTTATAGCTGTTCTTTTCTTAAAGCAAACCCAGAGCCTCAAACATTTTTCAGTATGTTTCTAATTTTTTCATAATAGATGCTTTAGTTAATTTTCTCGTTTAAATTAATTTCTTGAGAAAGGAGATTATAAGGAAGCTCACAAAATAAGCTCACCAAAGAAATTTTTTTTCAGTGTGTTGCTTTTATTACTTACTATGTAGTAATGTAATTTTCATCTCAACAAGTAATTCTTTTCTCCTAGGGATGATAAAAATTTATGTAGTAAAGCCATTGTGAGCGAGGTCAAGGCATTCTGCAAAGCTGACTTGGTTACTGCTCTTCAGAGGCTGAACGTAAACAGGCACCAGAGCTGTGATGAGCTGCAGCAGTCAAAATGTGGTAAGTTGGTTTAATGTGCACGTATACATATGCTGCCTTTTGAGACCTGTAATAGTCAGTGCAGGAGAGGGAGAATAGCTTCTACTCTAACTTCAGTTTTCATATACTTTGAATCCTTAGGCATACTTTTTGTTTGGGGCAGATTTTTTTATTTTCATAGGTACATGGTTTTCTGAAAGTTTGAGAACTTTACTAGAACATCTGTCTCCTAGAGTTCTAGGAAGTTCAAATACAGTGCATTTTTGTGTTACAGAAAAAACACAGCATGAATTTCTTGTGTTCATAGTAACTTAAAAGTGTCCTGAACTTTTCAGGGCTGAAAAGAGGTTTTTCCTGTTGAGCCAGTTTGGGTCCTGTTCTTAGTAGTTGTAAAATTCAGCATGCCAAGGTCACTCCTTCCGTTTTATGCTCATACCTTTACCTGCATCCCAAACAGTAGAACTTGATTCTTGGGTTGCCTGTTCATTTTCCAAACGATACTAATTCAGCTTACACTATGAAGAAGGAACCTTCTTGTATTTGCTGATAACCCCACCGGCTGTATGCAAGTTATTTAAGGAAAAAAGAAATGTGGAGTAAGATCACAAATGAATAAGACTCTGGGGAAATTAATCTTCTTGGTTAGTAGCTCATAATTAAAAATTCCCATAGTACAAGTGAGTTTAACTAGAAATACTCAAAACTTAATTAGATGTGGCCCATCTGCTGTATATCATAAGTGCAAAGTGCAGTCTGTCTTTATTTATGGGGATGAGTTATTTGTGTGCTATCAACGTTAATTAGACTCCAAAAGAGTTGCAATAATTACCTTCTATTATCATTGGTTTGACAGGTACAGAATTTGAGAAAACAAGAGGAGGTGATGCTGCTCTTAGCACACAATTCCCACATATACTTCCAGACCTTGAAAAGAACTTAGGAGAAGCTTTATCTTGTATTTTGGAGACTGAAATGAAAATTGCATTTGGAAACCTATGGATGGAGGTGGTTTCTTATCTCATCTTGCTTGATATTTCAAGTATTAAGAGATTTAAACGTCCTTGATATTTTAATGGTGTTGGTACCTGTGCTCAGCCACACAGCGAAGTTCCCTAGTTCACTGACAGTGATCAGTGTTCAGTTTTACTGTTCCAATTCAGAACAAGATGGTTCTATTTGACCAGTAACGACTGTGCAGTATTTTACTAGTCTTTTAATAACACAGTAACAGAGATGCTAGCTGTTCAGTGTGATTTTTCACAAGTCTTTTTATTAGTTGCATTAAATTTCTCTTTTGGCTCTTCTCGGATGGTTAAATCACTGCACTGTGTATACGTCCTTCAAGAAATTATTCCATCACGTTTTATGTCATACTGAGGTGCTCTTAGTGCAGGCACTTCTTCCCCATCACAACAGATATTTTTAGATGCCATGTGGATAAAACTGTTCACAGCTGAATTGGTTACAATGCAGATAAAGATTCACAAGGGTGTTAACGAGAACCTCTGAACACTCGCTCTTCCAAAAGTATTGTTAACAAAAAATAAATACTGATGTAGAAGGCGTTTCAAATTATCAGTGTGTTGGTTTAGATTCTATTTTATAGCTGGTAGGGGTTAGGTAGAAGTTTAAACTTATTGCAGATAAGCCTCTATGGCTTTCAAAAAAAAAAAAAAAAAATCACTTCCATGGGATGACTGTTGCTTCACAAGATGTAGAGCGTTGATTAGCTGTTAAGCTGTTAGGCGCTTCTGATTATTTCAGTTCTCTTGCAATATGTGTATATTACTTCATGCATATATAGGCACAGCTAGGGAAAGCGTGGTTATTGTTACTTTTGAAACAATACCAGAAAATAAAAGGCATAATTGTTCTGGCTTTGGTACACAAGTAATGACACATTAAATCGCTGTATATGACAACTCGAGTGTTTGGGGCCTTTGAGGAAAGGGGGACCCAAAATCATGAAATTGACTGTACATTGAATGCTTCTACATGTGCATCACTGTTTAACCCATGATGCTGCTGAAGCAAGTAATTTTTAATAGGTAAACTTGTTAAATCTGAATATAGCCTTATTCCTGAGCAATCACTGTCATTCAGCTTCAGCCAGCACAACTCATAACATTAGTGAAGAGTAGAGCCTTTGTGAAATGGATAGGACTGTGTCCATGTGAAAATCAGCCTTTGAATTTCTAACACGTTGTCTTTCAGATACTCTATCTGAAGCCGCCTTGGACATTAGCGAACTTGCTGAAGTGCTACAAAAAACACTGGGTGGCTGTTTTTGGCTATGTTGTGCCAAGGAGTTTACTTTCAACCATTGAATGTCTCTATAAACACCTTTGTACAGGTAAGAATTGCTGAGAACATAAATTTTAAACTTGTGAAAAATCTCACTGTTGTGGTTTTAGTAGTTGGAGGAGTAGATCCTTTGAAAAGGCACGACCTCTCTAGCTTCAAATAGTGAGGTGTTCCGTCTCCTTCTGCTGTTTTTTCAGTTTAAGATTGTCCAAATGGAGGCGTGCTTTGGGCAGTCTGACCTACTTGTGTATTGATTCACTGTATATTTCCCAGATGGGTGGCAAAATCCCAACACTGTTTTTGTAGCCTTAAAGCCAGAATTGAACTGAAATTGATGAGCTACGAATTACATCAAAAAAACCCCAAAACCAAGATTGTGCCAAGATCCAGGCTCTGGTCCCAGGTAGTCTAAATATCACCTGCAAAAATCATGAAAATGATTTCTGAAGTGTTTTTTTTCTTTTTGCAATTCAGTATTCTACTGGCTTTTTTCTGCTCTTTATACAAAGACAGTAAACGCAAAACTGTCAGGCATGTAAGAATTTTATTCCCCACGTCTCTCTACCTGCAAAAATCAAATATCTATATTAATGGTCACCAAAGTCTCTGAATTATTTTCAAAAAACAAATAATCTTTCTCCTTCCTTTGCCACCATGTTATCTGTGGCAACATGATCTGCATTTCCCAAATAATTTATGGAGGGTTAAAGACTATTTGATGTGATAGATGAGGGCAGGGAGTTTTGCTTTCGAAACAACAAGCCAACAAAAAAACCCTAAACCCGTTCATTTATTTAAAGGTGTGTTTAAGAATTTGGTTTTAACAGATATACCTCTTTTGTGGGATATTGCTGTTCTGCAGAATTATTTTAGATAGCCAGTTGGTCTTCTTTGCTGGATCCTGGGATAAATTTGGAAGACTTGATTGAGAAGTGAGAATTCTTAACCTCACATGTTTCTCTTGAGGCTGTGTTATCTAGCCATTTTCAAGGCTTTTCATGTGCCTCAGTGAATCCAGATGTTTGAGTATAAACTTGCCTCTTTAAGACTGATAACTCTTAACATCTAATACTTTTTTTTTTTTCCTTTCCCGTATTACTGTCTAAAATTAATCAGGTAAAACAGTCGACTCCTCAACAGCAAGTACCTTGCTCCAGGAATCTAAAAAATTACTGCATGCTTTCAGTTCAAGGTCAGACTATAATGGTGTACTTCCTCAGGCTTACGCTGAAGTGACCAAGCTGTACCAAACGCTGACAGAGGTAAGGGGAGCTTTACATTTCGTTCACCTAACATCTTGAAGTTGCTTCATGTTCATGCTACAAACCTAGCTTAGATTTCTAAATTATTCCCATAATTTCCGCTAGTTACCGCAGGAAATGTTGCTAGAGCATTTTCAAAATTAATAGATCCCAAAATTAACTTTTATTTTCATGTACCAAATATCTGCCTTATGCATATGCTTGGTAGACTTCTTGTTTTGCTAATATATATGTGTAAGTATTTGGGAGGGTGGCTGAAAAACATTATTTAGCTGCTTTCAGGAAAAACTAGTTGATTTTCTCTGGCGTTTGTAGCTGATGAAAAGGGGCCCTAAAGATCAAGATCCAACGTGTTGTTTCTACTTCTGATGTTGTTCCAATGTCACTGTTCCTAGGCGTGTTATTTCAGCTTTCATTGCCTTGGTAGCTCTGGTGCTACGTGTGGAGAAAGGGCTTGCTTGTATCGTGTGCTGTGTGATAGCTGGGGTGTCCTGACACCTCTCGTGTTCTGAGAATCACAGAATCACAGAATGGTTTGGGCTGGAAGGGACCTTAAAGACCATCTAGTTCCAACCCCCTTCCATGGGCAGGGACACCTTGCACTAGACCAGGCTGCTCAATGCCACATCCAGCCTGGCCTTGGACACTTCCAGGGATGGGGCATGATGATCCCAGAGAAGTACATCTTTACTGCCAGCTCCTCTGGGAGCTGCTGTGGAAGTAATTTCAGTATCTTGGTTTGTGGTTACTGTTAGTTCCCTCTGTAGTGGCATAAAAAATGGAATAATGAGCATGGATGAAATATTTCTATATATGGGAAAGAATACAGGTCAGAGTATCTGTCAAACGTTCTTTTGGGTTTTGGAGAAAGCTGAAGGGCAAAGGCAGAAGATTGTCAAGGAGAGGGCGGATGATCTGGGGAGTCTTGATTGCCTACGGTGCTGTAGCTTCTGTGTGCGCTGCCCTCAGGCACGTGGCCCGCACAGGGCTGAACGCTGCCGCTGTGTGAAGCAGGCGTTCTGTCTGAAAACGTGTTTCCTCCTGTCCTTACCCTGACAGGTGGTTGACTCCACAAAGGACTGCCTTACACAGACTCGTTTTCAGTTTGACCCATACAAATTTTCTCAGCTGTTTACCAGATGAGTAGATGAATACTTGGTGCAGTTGCAGAGGAAAATGTGCCATCGGCTGTGCGAGAAGGGAGTAGGAGGACGAAGCGGTTCTCGTTTATACCAGCTTGCCATGCCTGGGAAGCTCTGGCACAGCGTTTTCCCTACCTTGAGAAATACCAATATATACATATAGAAAAAGGCTTGCTGAGAGACCGGGAGTTGCTTTAGGTGCAGAGACTAGGGAAGGTGGTTATGACCTGAGATCGGCCTTGCTATTTTTTAAGTGTTGCCTTAAAGACAAAGTAGAAGTGTTCACATTTTCCTAAGTGAGGAAGCAAATACACTCATCATTTGTTTGCTGAACTGTTTTATAAGGTGAGGTCAGACAGTGAGCAGGATTTATCAGAAGACATCATGGTTCTTTCAGAAAATGCTGTATGTGACAAAATGGAAGCAGCGGCACCAAATCTTCAAAACTGTGAAGAAAAAAAGTTACATCCAAGCATTCATGTAGCTCAAGAAAACAGGCACCAGGAAATCTGGTCAGTCCTTGAAGGTGTATGGAATACAATAAACTTGTACAGGTACGGTATGCTAAACTGATTCTGAACTTCTACAGAACCTTACATAATTTTCAAACACACGCTTCAGAAATTGGTGTGGTTTTTTCCTATTTTAGAGAAGAAGCTATTAGTAGCTTTTTCAGTTTTTATCAAAATGGACAAAAAACCCCACACAGCTTGTCCCACAAAACAGTTGGGAGCATACAAATTGTTATGTGGATGTGGTCAGTGTCTGGTCCGCTGCTTTTTCTCCGGGCGGTGGCTGAAATACGGCACCTTAAAGAATGGTGTTGAAAGTCATAAATGTGAGCTATTCGTGGAAATCTCATCTTTATCCATAAAAAAAGAGGCATTCAAGCTCTTAAGTTTCCTTGTGGTTATTTTCTTTCCAAATCCTGGGGAGGTATACTAGCCTATGTCAAATAGTTTCCTTTTTTTAAAAAAACTTTAATCAATTTGAAATATAGTAAGTTTTCTTGTTAAGCAAAGTCCTTCACTCTATAAAATCCAAATGCAGAATCTAGTGATGAATTTTCTTTCTCAGGTAAACTCAAAATTGCACAAAATTAAATCCCCCTCCATCTAGATGTTTTATTCTTGTTAGTATTTTGGTTGGTTTTGAAGGTCACCCTGATGCCATGCTGTTGGATGCTATCACAAAATCTGAATAGGTGCTGTGTTTTCTTTTTGTAGTCTGAATCTGAAATCTTTTCAAAGGAGGGGCAGTGAGCGCGGTCAGGCACAAAGGGACTCCAGTTCTCATGGTTTAAGGACTCACCTAATAAACTCTACCAATGCCATTTCCACATTAGTTTTTGAGTGGACTAGAGAGCTGTGCCAGTGTAAGTCCCCTGGGCTTGCACCAGTGCAAATCCATCTGAGCTGAAGCTGGTTAGGAGATGGCCTGGTGTGGTGTTCAGGCCGGCTGAGGATCTGTGCCAGGGAAGAGTCTTGTACTTGACAGTTCTCTTACTGGGATAGAAATCGAGAATTTGAAGGTTTCGTATAGGCACCAAGGAGAAACTCTTTAAGATGTAACACTTCGTAATGAAAATGCAACTGAGCTGTTGGCTCTTGCCACCTGTTAAGGACCATGCTGTGAAACAAGGATAGAATTTTAGAATCAGAGGTCCCTTCACACTCTTCTTGCTCATGTTAAGAAAATACTACTTATCACCTCCTGTGAGGATAATGCTTCATGAGTGCACTACAGCCCATTGTCCCAATGCCACTATTGCAGGGAAGGGGTCAAGCCCATTCCAGTAGATCTGGAGAATGGAGCTTCTTGGAAAATTGATGGCAAGCACTTTAATTTGCCCTAACGATTCGCTTCCAAGAGAGGCTTACTCAGGTGTGTCCAGGTCGTGCATGAAGAGACTCTTTCATTCTCAAGTAAAGTTTACTGATAAATCTATTTAAGTCAGGGGTGAAATACTGTTAGAAAATACAGTTGCCGAGGAGAATTTTAACCAGAGAAGTACCATTTTAGGGCATGGTCTTTCTTATTCTAAGGCTATTTTAGATAACATGGTTTTAGTGTAGGTTTACATTTGACTTTTTTTTTTCCCCTATAGTCAAAATACAGTTCATACAGTAGATACTGGGTTTCTCTGAGTGTTGAGGATTTTTATTAACTGCTTTGCAATGTCTCTTCTTCCCTTTTTTTTTTAATATTAGTATTGAAATTTTCCAAAAATTGGACCCCAGCACAGTAACTGCGACTGCAAAGTCTTCATTTGAAGAAGCTTTCTTAGGTCTGCAGAAACTGTTGGCAGCTGTGAATGATATCCGTGAAGGAATTAACAGGTAAGCAGTTAAACTAGTCATAACATCTCAGGGTAGTACCAGTCTTTCAATGCCAAACTACAATTTATTGTGTGTGTTTAGTGATGTGATTTTTGTTAAAAACCTTGATATCGAGGACTCTTTGTTGGTAGCACAAGAAGCAGCAGCTTGCAGACGTTCGGAGCTCTGGTAGTGAATTTTCTCTTTCATGACATGGGATGTGTTTTCCAGTATTTGCGGATGAGCTACTCGCCTCTGCTCAGTGTGTCACCGGGGCTCTGACATGGTTAGCTAATATGTTCTCTCTTGTGCACGAGCTTTGAATGATCCATAACATTTCTTTCTCAAATACAAGTCCCGCTGGAAGTGGGGCAAATTTCCGATACAGTGAAGGACATGAAGGTTTGGGACTTTCCTGTTAGCAGTTCTAGAGCACTCCTCATGAGTCAAAACCTGTATTGCAGCCCTAACAGTGCCAATCGATCTGCTGGAGTCTCCGTTTAGGAAAGATAATATTCCCTTTGTCTTTCTGCTGCCTTCTTTTAGAGAGTGCAGAATGATCAAAATGAAGCTTCAGAAAGAGTGAGGCTTCTCTGGTGCAGCCTTAACTTAGTCCTTTTTTTATAGCAACGCAGTGCTGTAACGCCACGGGCAGGAACAGCTACAGAAGAATGGAAGAATGCTTTACGTTGTCACTCAGGGTTGACTTGAAGGAGAGTTTGTAGGGACTGGTTTGTTATTGCGGGTGGAGTTCCAGTAACTGCTGTGAGCATCCTGAAGGATGGCTGGGAATCTGCGTGGCTGGAGCTGTTTGATTTGGGAAAGCACCAGCACTGTGCGCGCTTGCTTTGCATAGGGATGATGCAGATGGGTTAGAAAGCTGAAAGAGATGCACCCGAACGGTTGGGCTTGCCCTGCACGTTGACATCCTGCCTTTCAAGTAAATGGTGAGGTACATTGCATGGCTGCTGTAGACTCTCAGAGCTTTGTTGAACACTATCTAATAAGCATGTAATTTTTTTCAAGAAGTGTTTTTTCTATCATTCTGCCATAGTAGTGAGGTTCTAGACTTGCATCGTCAGTGCTTAGCCATGTTCAGTACAACCTTTGCTGAAGGTTCACAGTCCTTACGCTGTAGTTGTCCCAAGTTCTCCCAAGGATGGCTGTATGGTCATCCCAGTGTGAGGTCTGACCTGTCAGGGCACTTCAAAAAGCTGGAACAGGGATGTGGAACTCCGTCGCTTGGGACTTGAGCTGGTTTTCATCTGTGACTGCTAGAGTATTTGTTTTTCTTTCAGTAAAAATTATGGTGGAATCCTGCAAACGTTTGCTTTGCTTGTCACTGCTCCCAAATAAGTTTTTGTTGCTTTCTTAAATTATGGTCAAAGGGTTGTTTCAGTAAAATATCTGTTCTGTAAGTCCCAAACAAGCTTCAAGGTATGCGCAAGGGAAGTGGCGTGCTCACAGGATCATATAAAAGATACGTGTCAGTAGTATGTAGCTGAGTTGTAGGTCTGATTTTTTTTCCATACAGCGCACTAAGAGTGGGATAACTCCATTCAAAGAATTCTTGTCTTCTGTCGAAGATAAATGGTCTAACTCTGATGAAAGTAGAAACAGAAGAATATGGGTAGAAGTGTGAACTTGAGCAGCTGGGTGTAATTGAATCGATTTCATGGCTGATTATCACAGAATCACAGAACGGTTTGGGTTGGAAGGGACCTTAAAGACCATCTAGTTCCAGACCCCCTGCCATGGGGGGTTTATTTATTTATTTATTTTTCTCTCAAGAAAGCGTTTTAAAAAGGCAGGTTGCTGCTACAGATGGTCCTTTTCATTCCATTCCTGAAGGTTTTGCAAGAAATCCTGTGGTGTGTGGTAGGTGAGTTTCAGCAAGTGCTTCAAGGTCTCTATTTCAGTGTTGCAGGGCGTTTCATTAGAACGGCAAGGCAGTAACGTTTTCTATTTATTTTAGTTGAAAGCTACTTACCTCCCCTATTTCCCCTTGTGGGAGAGCTCTGTAAACATAAAAAGGTCTAACATTATATCACAGAAATCTGTGTTACAAAAGATGGACTTTGTTGACCAGAGCCATCAGAGTATCTGGAGCAAAAATAAACAGGATTCTGTTTGACTTTGTGTAAACGTAGAGGCTGTTTTCTGTTCATATGATCACCGTGACACTCAAGAACGTTTATGAAATTGCTTCAAAAATTCCTTTTATACATTCTTTTTTCTACTACTGAACTAAAATCCACTCTAGGCATCCAGGATGATTCTTGGAGGAGGGGGAGTAATTTTCCTGCATGGCTGCATTTGGAAATGCCTGCTCCGAGTTTTTCTGCAGATTTACGGTAGAGGGCATCGTGGAGCAAGAAGCAGGAGAGACTGGAACACGTTTTAGTCGTGGGTGTAGGTATTTCAGTGAGTTTGAGCCAGTTTGGGGCTAGATGATCTTACAGGTCTTGTCCAGCCTTAGCGATTCTGTGATTCTGTGGCAGCCCTGTTGCCTTCTAACCGGTCTAAAAAGCAGTGAACTTTGAACAAATCAGTGTTGTAAAAGCCATGGCCTGGCCTTGTAAAGCGGGAGAGGAGAGGACTAGACAAAGTGGCACTAGGATCTGACATCCCAAGTACTTCCATAATGGAAGAAAGCATGAGCTTTTGAGTTTGTTTGGGGGAAAATCTTCGTTTCCCAAAGGGTTGATGTTGAACAAAACTCTGGCATGCATTGAGCATTGTAACACCAGTTTGAGCCCTCTATTGCAGTGCGGTGTAATGAGGAATGGTTAATAAGCTGTGTGTAAGTTTTGCTGTTCCATTTCTCATCTCTTTTGCTTTCCTGATATTCTGACAGCGAGGTTAAATGGGGGTTTCAGTGGGTGAAGTGGACTTTTATACAATTAAGTCGTACGCCCTGTTGATGAGCCGCATGGCTTTATTGAATCACCTAATGCTTTCTGACAGTCTCCCCAGTCCTACGCCACAGGCAATTGCATGGAACAGTTAAAGAGGAACAGCTCAGTGTGACAAGTGCTGAGGGGCAGGGGCTTGGCCAGATTTGGGAGGGATTACCACGGACTCTTATATCATTTCTCCCCGTATGCTTTACTTGCCGTTGCCCAGGATTTTTGTGCCTGTGAGCAGCTGGCAGGCTGACCTGCTTTCACTGCCAGATTGTCTTGTGAGTCGGGGATTTGTCCCCCCCTTCTATCTGATAAGTTAGTTTTCTGATCCTTTAGGCTTTGCTTGTTTCCCAGCTCTTCTCTAGGCGCAAGTGAGGAACCGCATGGTGAGCTATTTCCTCTCCAGTCCCATTTTTGATTATCAAATCTTACACTCTGTGCATGTGTTTAGCACCAGATGAGTGACACATCAGTAGGTGAAGAAACTTGGAGTGGTCTGGGGAGCTGTATTGTTTCTGAGACAGAAATCATGAAGTCTAACTCTCTCCTTTCTCCCTTCTGCCTCCAGAACAATATCTAACCTCCGTTTCCTCGCTCGTACCCAGTCCCTGCCAAGAACCATCCTACAGTTTTCAGCTCGATCGATTAGTGGCAATCCAACTTTCACGTTACCCAGCATGCTTGCCAACAGCTGCTCAGAGCACGGTGTTGGGGTTAATTAATGTTGAAGTACATAACGTGGGGTTGTTTGTTCCTGCATGGCTGTGCTCACAGGAAAGGCAAAGGGATTCAGCCGCTTTCCACCCTCTGCTTTTTGGGAGAGAAGAGAAAGCAGTGGTTAAATATTGCGCTGGCCGTACTACTGAGATTCAGATTGCTCGTTAGAAGAGTTTCACTCGTTAGAAGAGCCCATTTGCTTCACGTATTAGTAGGTTAGAGGGTGTTCTCTACACATAGTTCTATAGCTGAGGCAGACCTTTCTTTCCACTGAGAAACTTGATGAAAACAAGATCAACTTGATGTAATGAAGTAGTAGATGCCGAGTCAGTATGCATACAAACACGTCCAGATTTCCCAGTGTGCATCTGAACATTTCTATTTTCTGTAACACAGAATGGTCGCTACAGGAGATGAAAGGAATGTAAAATGGGTCAAACCAGTAGGCAGCACAGTGGTGAGGAATCACTGTCCTGCAGACAGGAATGTGTTAGAATGTTCCACAGAGAAATATATTCCAAGGCTGGAGCTTGTATTCCAGTTCCTATTTAGCTGAAAATGGCAATAACCATGTTTTATGAATGCTGATCTGTTAAGAATTTGCGGGGGAAGTTACAGTGCAAGCTTTTCTCTCACCAGCTTCTTTTCAGTACTCCGTGTGTAGCAATAGTTCTTCCTTGAAAATAACAATTGTCCTTTATTTGCAGATACTGTAAAGCTTTGAGCCCAATTTCAGACTTCTCGTTTCATGTTATGAACCCAGAAGGAATTCCTGTGATAATCCAAGCAAACTCCATATCTAAGTTACGGGATTTAACATGAAGGGACTTACGTGCTTCTTTACACGTTTTAGTTGGTTTTTTTCCCAAATAAGGGGAAGCACGGCCGGTTTGTATATCCACCTGGGGTCCGGTAACTTAGTGAGCTAACCCAGTTTGCTGATAGCTTTGGTCACCAGGACAAAAAAGTGTGTTTCAATCATATGTGCACACAGGAAGTGAATAGGAAGAGTGGCGAGGGTTTCCTTGTGGAGGGCACAGACTGCATAGCCTGGGAGACGTCGATGGGATAGTCTGTAAGCCTGCAGCATCCGAACTGTGTCATGGTTCAAAAGTTTTAATGAATTAATGGTTTGCTTTCTCTAGTAATCATTGAGAAGGGCTCCCTCCCAGCGGGAAAAGATCGAATGCATGTGGTGTGAGTGCTTCCATGGTGCTAAGCTTGTGAAGGAGGGCAGTGTGGGTGGTGGGTTGCCTGCTTTCATACACACAGTGGAATTAAAGGTCTGTGCAAAACCAGAAGGCTAAAAATGACCTTGGAATTCTGCTCTAATGTTGCTTTTAAAATTACGTTCAAACTGGTTTTCTTGCTAAGAGCGATGGAGTGAAATACAGAGTTTCTAGGCACTTCTCTGGCCTGGGGATGGGAAGTTTGGAGTCAGACGAAGGTGAAGAGCCACGTGGAGATGCCGTGTAGTTCAGGGAAAGGCAGAACCCTTTAACTCTGCCTTCCACTCCCACTCTCCGCCTTTGCTTTTTCATAGTTCTTACAAACTTTTTTTGCCACAAAATCCAGGAGCCCGTAATGAGCACAGGTTTTCTTTCTCTTGCCACCGCCCTTTCCTCCACCCTCCCTTCTTCCTATAGAAAGCTTACCTGGCTGGGTTTCCCACCAGCAGCTCGACCGTGGCAACTTAGCCTACAGCCTCCCATCTGTGTCCTTGGCACAGCAGGAAAAACACAGTAATGAACGTATTTTTGCCCCAACATAGAATCACAGAACGGTTTGGGTTGGAAGGGACCTTAAAGACCATCTAGTTCCAACCCCCCTGCCATGGGCAGGGACACCTTCCACTAGACCAGGTTGCTCCAAGCCTCATCCAGCCTGGCCTTGGACACTTCCAGGGATGGGGCATCCAAAGCTTCTCTGGGCAACCTGTCCCAGTGCCTCCCCACCCTCTCCGGGAAGAACTTCTTCCTGATGTCCAATCTAAACCTCCCCACTTTCAATTTAAACCCGTTACCCCTTGTGCTGTCACTGCAGACCCTTGTAAAAAGTCCCCCCCAGCTTCCTTGTAGGCCCAGCATACTTGTAGCAAGATGCAAGGGCCTTCAGTAACAGTGAGGGTATTAGGAGTAACTTACCTTGTGTGTTTGGTGAGGCTTTGCGTTCCCTTTTATGAAACCAAACGTGCGAGCTCTCCTCCTGGTTTTGCAGGAATGGTACAGAAATCGTGCTTTCCCAGGCCTCGGGTGTACGCGCGGGTGTACGCCGTAGGTGACCGACGCAACACCTAAAGCTGGTGTATTGTCCCGTGCAGACAGGGCCGGCTGACGGCTACACGGCGCCGGTTGGTGGGAATCGGAGCTGCCGCTCAGCCCGAGCTGCCAGGATTTCCAGCCTTTCCGAGGCTGTTTGCCAGGTTGTCTCTGCCGGGGCTTTACGCCGTCAGAGCTGGCAGCTTCTGCGCTGGGGTGGCAGTTGAAGGCTTCGTGGTGTTCTTTGGAGAAGCAGCCAACTGGGGCTGTTGGTGACTTTCGTTGGCAGGTGAAGTGGTGCAGCGGACGAAGAAAAAGCTGGGTGTATCGTCTGATGAAGGAGGAGGGAATGTGTGAGCAGTGGTTGTACTGGTGATGATTCCTTTGTAAAATCATGCTGAAAATAAGCAGCGGGCTTACTGGTTACCATACACCCCGTGGTGTGTCACCGTCTTCCAGCCTCTTTAAAATACTGTGTTGTCTGTACCCGGGAGTTTTAACTTACTCTGTTAGTTTTCTGGGTTTTCTTCAATTCCTAAGTAATCCATTTATAAAGGCTTACAGCTTGCACTGCGAGGGAGGGGAGAATTTGGACACTTTCCCATGGGAAAGTAAATAGAACTTCCCAAAAAGAAAATACTTTCCACTTTTTTTTTTTCCCAAATCCATACTTTAAGCTTGACATATAAATACTGACAAAATTCTGCCTTAATGTATGTAAGGTGTTATTAGATTGCAGTGTACATTTTGTAATGTTTGAGGGTTCTGTTTCTTCCTCGTGCATGCAAATTGAGTTCCACTGAGGTACAACTGAATTATGTCTGCTTAAATAGATTAGGATAATTAGTTTTTGAGAGAATCACTTCCTTCTTGGATCGTTTTTGGAGCCTCGTGGGAATGGGTTCCCTCCCAGAGCTTCACCTTATGGGGAGACCAAAGGTGATGCTTTCTTCTGCGGGTGGTAACTCCGTTTGGAACGAGGTGAACGAGGACTGGATTTGGGGAAAGACTGAAATGTTTCTGGCTGCTCTGGGCATTCGTGGCTGAATAAAATACCAGTAGTTCACATGGTACCTGGTTCTTCCTGAAGATGCCTCTCCCTGGTTTTACCTCCCAGTGTCAGGATGACCTGGTTGTTATTAGAAGTAGCCAGAGTGGTGGGTGAACTGTGGCATCTGAGCTTGGACGTTGGAATGCTGGAGGGAATGAGTTAAAGCTTTAGCTAGAGTGGGTACGTTTTGTATCGCCTGTTGCTTGCTCCAGGTTCATAGGGCGGGCTTTGCTTACGTGAAAGGCTTGTTAATTACTGCTGATTTCTTCCCAGCTATATAGAGAAACTGCTCCTGAAAACATCAGTTGAATTTTTAATTGGGAAAGAACTTCATAGAAAGTCCTTGCAGAAATAATAAGCTCATGTGATTCTGTTAGAGACTGGGAAGGGATGGATGGAAGGGAAGAATCTTCAAAGATCAGAATTTTCTTTTTGTTTGAAGAATTAGATTTTTTTTTTCTTTCATTAAGCACTTATGAGTGTTTTAACTCTTCTACAGAATCCTTTTCTATTTGCTTAAAAAAAATCCCAAACTTTTCTTTTTCAGAATTTTGACCCCAACCAGTAGTTTCCAGGATATTTGGACCCTCTATAACTTTCTCATAAGCAACGAGGTATGAAGTTTTCTTCAATGTTTCCTTCAGATACACTTCTGGTACAGTTTTTTTTACTTAAAGTAGTTATGACAGGTGAGCTGTCTCATCATTGGGTTTCCACTAAGCTAGAGTTTTGAAGATTTGCTCCTTTTTATTAGGAATTTGACATAAAAATATATTCTTGGTTGGTACATACCCAAAATTACTGGAATTTCTCCCAGTCTGTGAGTTGTTTGTGTGACTTGGAGCGCTCCTTTGTTGTGAATGAGTTGCTGTGGAGAGCAAAAAGCCTTGAAGGTGACGTCAGGGAAGCATCCCTGCTGTGTCCGTTTTAAGAGGGGGAGCGAGTGCATTGCGTGAGGGAGTGCTGGCTGGGGTTCAGAGAAAAAAAGGGAAATTGAAATTACCAGTTATTTGTGAAGTCTGAACTCATTTCTGCTGAAAGCTTTTCAGAAGAGAAATTGAAATGAACGTTTGCAGTGGAATAGAGGTATTTTTCCATTTAGCATATTATATATATCAGATTTACTGGCCTCCCCTATACAAGAAACTGTATTTGGTTTTTTAACCTCCACACATAGGTTGACTGTATTTATGGAATTAATGTGGGTCTGAACTCACTCTGTTTGCTGTAGAGCTATAGGGTAAATTAAGAGGGAAGGAAGAATTATTTAAGGTCTTTCTGTGCAGAAATCGTTAGAAAGTGGAGCTGGAGTGATGTCTATCACTACCATTGTATACAGTCATGATTGCTAATTTGTAATTTCTGATTTCATTATATACTGTGTGACTTCTGCATGTCCTGGCTCAACCCCAGAGCCTGTTGGGTAATACTGCAACCGTATCTGTTATACCAGCTGTATAACTTGAATTGATATGTGATACTGGGTAAATCGCTATGGTAATTCTTTGTTCTTTGCTTTAGGTAAATAACAGTGCGAAATTCACTGCTGAGGAGCTGTACGAGTGTGTTTCTCAAGAGGCCTATCGGTAAGCCAGTTACTGACCGCATCAGATGGGTTTCGAGATGGCATTTTGGCATGTACTGACAGGGTACCATAAGGGGAAATGGTTTGGGTAAGTAGGAAATCACTGTTGTAGGAAGGACACAGGGCAGATGAGTGGGGAGTGGTTTCTTTTACCCTCCCCCTATTTTTTTTAATGATCTGCTCCTATAGTGGAGTGGGAGAGGACTTGAATTTGAAATGAGCTGTTGGCGTCTACACAGCGATTTCCAGCCGTGTGAGGTGAGATGTTGGTCTCTGGATACAGCCCAGGATACGGTTGGCTTTCTGGGCTGCCAGCGCACACGGCCGGCTCATGTCCAGCTTTTCATCCCCCAGGACCCCAAGTCCTTCTCCTAGGAGCTGCTCTCTATCCACTCTCCACCCAGCCTGTCCTTGTGTTTGGGATTGCCCTGACCCAGGTGCAGGACCTTGCACTTGGCCTTGTTGAACTCCATGAGGTTGGCACAGTCCCACCTCTCCAGCCTGTCCAGTTTAAATGCGTTCCGGAAAAACCAGTAACCTTTCGTTAGCTGGAGGCGGGGGCTGGGGAGGGAACTCGGGTTTGCTGTGGGGCGCCCTGCCACGGCGGGATGCAGCTGGAGCAGGCGCTGACTAACCAGCTCTGGCATAAGCTCTCATCTCCACGGCAAGAGCTGGACTACGCCTGGATGTCCAGTGGTACCGGGCACTCTCTGCTTGTGGCATTGGAGCGGCGTTGCGTTAGAAGCCCTCTGAGTTCTGTTTTAAGCCAAGATACGGCAAGATTCCCGTCTGCACGAGGGCTCCCTTGTGTCCTGATAACCTGTGTCTTCTCTTCCCCAGAGAAAGGCTGGCAGTGGGGTGCTGCCAGCTGGCCCAGCTGGAACACGCTGTTAAGCAGTGCCACGCAGCGG